GGGCTCCCTTTGAGGAGCACCCGGAGGCTTCAACTGGTCCAGAATGCGGCCGCGCGGGCGGTGTTGGGAGGGACTCGTCGCTCCCATGTAACACCGCTGTTGCGCGAGCTGCACTGGTTGCCAGTGGCCTTCCGGGTGCGCTTTAAGGTGTTAGTTACCACCTTTAAAGCGCTCCATGGCATAGGACCTGGCTATCTCCAAGACCGCCTTCTGCCGCAGATTCCCTCCCATAGACCGGTACGCTCCCACAGAGTTGGTCTCCTCAGGGTGCCGTCGGCCAAGCAGTGTCGGCTGGCGACCCCCAGGGGGAGGGCCTTCTCTGTGGGTGCCCCCGCCCTCTGGAACGAACTACCCCCCGAGATCCGGATGATTTCGGATCTCCTTACTTTCCGCCGCGCCCTCAAGACATGGCTTTTCCAGCAAGCGGGCCTGGCCTAGGGAGGATTTTAAATTGGGTTTATTTTTTAGACAATTTTAAACAGCACAACTTTAAAATATTTGGTTTTAATTGGTTTTATTTGGCGGGGATTGTGGGCATGTTTCTGTTTTTAAATATGTTGTGAGCCGCCCTGAGTCCCGTTGGGAGAAGGGCGGGATATAAATCAAATAAATAAATAAATAAATAAATAGACCTGTTTTTTTTGTTGTTGTTTGTTTGTTTGTTTTTGTTTCAGGGTAATTGAGACATGATCTGCCATGGAGACATAAATATCAGTCTGCTGCCATGGACAGATTGCTCCAGATTCCTTTCAGCTCACTGCAGGGAGACAGTGCCTATTTGATTGGTCTGCCCCAGATGTTGGATTAGTGTAAAGTTGAAGGGGACTGATTGCTTATTTGGAGTCAGAAGAGAGGCAGAACCAAAGTGTCACCAAGTTTCTTAGCTCTAAGTGATTTTTCCCTCTCAGTCTTTGGAGACAAGGGATCACATTGAATGAGACAACAGAAGTTAATTCCCTGGGGATTGAACTATCTTCTTCCAGCATATCTTTCTGGACATGTCCTGATTGGAAGGACCACAACCACTAAAGAACAGTTCTCACAGGGGCGTATCTGTAATTTTTCACTAGCATAGTTTTCTCCACCTACTCTGCACATGGAGACCCAAGGAAGTTCAGCATCCCAAGAGAAGATGAATGAACGAGCTGTTACTTTCACTCCTGTGTCTTCAATGCCTCGCCATTCTTGATATTTAACAGTGGCGACGAGGATGGGGCACAATTTACTGCTGCTGAATTTCAGTCCTTCTTATGGACTAACATGATTAGATATGCCATCTCTGCCCCCTTTCACCATGTTGGCCTCCTACAAAATCCAAGAGGTAAATGTATAATGTTCTGTGGCCTACTTCCCATGCTGTAGGGGTCAGTAGAAACAGTGGAATGTCTGAACAAAATAAGGAGATAAGGATTCCCTGTACCAAATTTTTATCATCTCCAAGAAGACAAATCACTTGCTTCTTCATAACAACTACCATCTTTACAATAATTTTCCTTTTCTTTTTCTTTGAAAAAAGCAGCCCACACTATTGCATACTGTTAATGTTATCTTTTTATTATTTTTCATGTCAGCTCTGTTTTGGAAGAACCAAATTCAGTGATATTCAAGTCCTTTCCATTTTTATTATATAGTTTGTAGATAAAGCATTTCATTTTTCTTATTTGAAATATCAATTTTCAGAGGAAGGCTGGACAAGGTGGCTACAAGCAAGCCTAAAAACCACTATCAAAATAAAGGAAATGTATCCTCCTCCCCCATTATATACAGTATTTCTGGCATAGCAACAAGATTCCCTTTGCACACATGTCATGATTAAAAAAAAAACCTGGGTGTGGCATCTCAGGCCTCAAATAGGCTAAAGACATTGGCAGACATTCTGCCTTAAGGATTCAAAATGCTCAGTGGACATCTTCTAATTTTACTTTATCCAGTTGGTGAGATTATCTTCCAAACAACCTTTAAACATATTAAGCAAAATTATTGGTTTACTTATGTATGGAGAGCAGCTTGGACCATTTTCTTGGTCTAGACTGTTGGAAAAGTTAAGACTTAAAATTCCTCTGTCTCACATGTTTACATTTCTTCTGGTTGTAAGATGCTCCTTTGTGTTCAGGTCTGGCCTCAGAATGATGATGTAGCACTTGGGGATGAAGATGCAACTCAGCAGAGCAGCATTGGAGGACAAGATGGAAAAGACCTGAACAGCCACCATATATTTCCCTTTGGTACTAAGGTAAGTGGGCACAAAACTCACCCAGACACTGCAGAAGACCAGCATACTGAAAGTGATCAGCTTGGCTTCATTGAAGGCTCCAGGGAGATTCCTGGCTAGGAAAGCCACAGTGAAGCAGATGGCAGCCAGGAAGCCCAAGTAGCTGAGGGTGATGTAGAACATGACAACATAGCCTTCATTGCATTGCAGGATGATCACTCCAGGCTGGGAGTGGAGGTCAAAATCAGGGAATGGGGAAGAAATTCCAAGCCAGATGGAGGAGATGATAATTTGGACAGCAGAACAAGAAAAGATGATGGAGTTGGCTAAGCTCTTTCCCAACCATCTCTTCACTTGATTTCCTGGTTTTGTGGCCAGAAAAGCCAGCACCACTGTGATTGTTTTGGCCAAGAGAGAAGAAATGGCAACTGAGAAAATGATGCTGAAAACTGTTTGTCGGAGAAGGCAGGTGGCTTTCTTTGGTTGACCAATGAAAATTAAAGAAGACAAGAAGCAAAGCAGGAGGGAGACCAGGAGGATGTAAGAGAGGTCCCGGTTGTTGGCTTTGACAATGGGAGTTTCTCGGTATTTAATGAATATGACTAACACAAACATTGTGGTCAGGAACAAGAGTAGGGCAAAAGAGACCAAGATGATGCCCAGATGTTCTTCGTAAGACAAGAAGGTTATAATTTTGGGGATACATTGTATTCGGTCCTTATTTGGATATCGATCAGGTGAACACTTGCTGCATTTTACCATATCTGAGAATACCAAAAGGTTTTTTTTTTAACAATCCCTCCATTCACATTTTAAGAAATAGCTTCTTATGACATCAATTACCAAGAACATTTTCCCAAATGCATATTTTAAGATCTCCCCAAAATAAAGATCATAAGAATACCATTTTCATACATACACATACACATACACATACACACTCACAAACACAAACATACATCTCTCTCTCTCTCTCTCTCTCTCTCTCTCTCTCTCTCTCTCTCTCTCTCTCTCTCTCTCTCTCTCTCTCTCTCTCTTTCTCTCTCTCTCTCTCTCTCTGTGTGTGTGTGTGTGTGTGATTTTTATGCCTCCCAGAGTCACTTGTAGAGGAGATGGGTGGCATAAAAATTAATAAATGAATAATACACATACACACACACACACATATACATGAAGGTATGTATGTATCTATGTGTCAGAACCCATATATTATTAAGGGGAACTCTTTTCTATTTCTTTTATTTCATTACGCTGGGTTCTGTCATACTCCTGAAGGGGAGGGGGGGAGACCCTGCAGGCTGTCTCTTTGTTTCTCTCTATCGCTACAATGTATCCCTTCCACTGTTTCTGCATATTTGCTTTTTGAACTGTCTCTCCCTTAATGTTACCTTGGAGTGAGAAAAAAATGTGTCTCCGGCCATACATACATTCAGAAGAGAATGTATGAAGATCCAACAACGTTGCTGTGAGCCTGGGAAAGACTGGTGTTATCTATTGGGGTAGGGTTTGCTTGGGACTCTTTTAACCTATTGATCTGAGTGGGAAACCCTCAGATTCTGCCTGTCATATTGGATCTGAGTCAGCTTCTCCTAATAAAAGTTCCTTTTGGAAGAAACTGTTTCCACGAGTTCTGCTTTCTTAGGATGAGGTTTTGAAGTGGGCTCTGACAGTATGTGTATACTGATCTATGGAATTTGGGAAGTCTTAGGATTTCATGTTAATGTGCAAAACCTTCAGTATTAGAGGTTAATAATGAATTAGTCAATCTTTCTAAATACACTTCCTGAATCCTGCAGGATGGCACTTCTTAATATACTGGACTCAGAGGATTTCTATCTTGTGAAATCTAGCAGAGAAAGCCTTAGTCATGGAAATGATCTATGATGGCTAACAGGAGCAGTGGAAATATGGGTGGAATGAGATGTCCCAATAACTGTCCATAGCACCTCATTGTGCAGCAGTAATATCTTCTCAGTGATCCTCACAGGAAAGCCCATATAAAATACATTGCAAGAATCTTTTCATTTATTATACTAAGATATTTCCTCAAGTTTCAAAGAAAACTGATTTTCCTAGAAGTTGAAATATAGAAGGAAACATCCAAACTAAAAACAGAAGAGATATTTTATATGGTAGTAATACAGCAAACCATCTTATCTCTTTGCAGCCCCTCTTTCAATATCATGTTGCTGTTCTTCCCATTAGAAAAGAAATTGTGCACTTTCAAAATAGAGAAGAAAACATTTGTGCTTCAATCTGTCTCTTAATTTGCACTTCCATAAAAATGTTCTGGATGAGGGGACTTCTGGTTTTGCACCATAGCGCGAGGCCGAGGGATTGCGGAGCTCTGCACCTCACAGCTAATTTTGCCCTGCCAGGGGACCCTAAATGAGTCTAAAGTCACCCCAGAGAGGTGACAAAGAAGAAGGGTTGCCCCGACGATCGCAGAATGACAGTAGTCAATCTGCTTGATCTGGGGGAAGCCCTCCAAATCAACAGTAGAAAGGCTGGCCACACCTCGGTGATCAGCCCAAGCTACTTGCAGCCGGAGTCCAAAGGCACAAACCAGAACAGCAGTGAACAGTGTCAGGTTCCGAAAGAAATAACTTTTCAGAGAACTTTTAGGCATAATTACCTTAAAGAATCCTTTAATGAGTTACATAATCCGGCACGAACGAAGTAAAGCCAAAAACTGAAACACCCCCCCATCCTAGCTCTCGCGACAAGCACAACTCCCTCCCTCCTTTCACAGTCATCAATCATATGCTCCAATTAAACAGA